CAGAGAAGGCTCTCCTCCGGGTAGTCGCCAGTCGGCATTGGCCGGCGGGTGGAATTCGGAGGAGGCCTAATCTGTGGGATCTAATCGGTCTATTGGAGGTAATTGGCAGCAGGCGGTCTCTCAAGTATGTCTGCCACCTCGAGTTGTTGATTAAAATAAGGAAGGAAGGATGCTTTAAAAAAAAGAGAGAGAGATCTCACCTTGCTGTCCCTGCTGGGCCTGTGGCAGCAGGAACTGTGCAGGGGACTGGAGAGGGTGCCCTGGGACGAGGACCAACTGCTGGAGCTGCAGCAGCTGCTGGATATCCTGGAAGGAAAAGAACCGGGAGGAGAACTACGGTGAAAACATCTCCACGTCGTGCAGAGGGACCTGATTTTCAAGGCGGTTGAGCTTCTTGAGAGGTTCCTGAGAATTGTACCTGCCCTGAGACCACCGAGAGCTTTTCTCACCCGGAACCACGGCTCCCGTGAGCTGCCCGGAAAAGAGGCGATGGCCAGGGGACCACTTTCAATGGACAATGCAAGGCAGGCCATGTCCCAGGCCATCCGAGAACCAGTTTTTTTCCTTTCAAACATCCCCCCCAGGAGGGAGGGCCTTCCCTTCCGAGGGCAAGTGGCCTGGCAATGCGGAGAACCTCTGGTGGCTGGCCCTGCAAAGCTCCCTGCTTCGTGCACAAGCCCTTACCTGTGCCGTCAGCTGGATTGGCTGGGACAAGGCCAGCTGGGGCGCCTGGGGCTGGCTCTGTGGTGCTGGCAGTTCAGCCCCAGGTTGCTGAGAGGAGGCGGCGGCGGCGGCAGCAGCATTAGACTGCTGTACGGCAGCCGCCAAAAGCTGTGCTTGCGCCTGCTGCAGGAGCAGTTGCTGTTGAGCAGGCATCAGGGCAGTCAGCTGTATGAGAGAGGGGGAGGCGGCAGGGCGGGCAGCAAGCAGGAGGCAAAGGGAGAGGAAGGAAGGAAGGAAGGAAGGAAGGAAGGAAGGAAGGAAGGAAGGGTGGATCAGGAAAGGAAGAAAGAAGGATCAGAGAAGGGAGGGAGGGAGCAAGCAGGAGGCAAAGGGAGAGGAAGGAAGGAAGGAGGGAAGGAAGGAAGGGTGGATCGGGAAAGGAAGAAGGAAGGATCAGAGAAGGGAGGGAGGGAGCAAGCAGGAGGCAAAGGGAGAGGAAGGAAGGAAGGAAGGAAGGAGGGAAGGAAGGAAGGAAGGAAGGGTGGATCAGGAAAGGAAGAAAGAAGGATCAGAGAAGGGAGGGAGGGAGCAAGCAGGAGGCAAAGGGAGAGGAAGGAAGGAAGGAAGGAAGGAAGGAAGGAAAGAGGGAAGGAAGGGAGGATCAGGAAAGGAAGAAAGAAGGATCAGAGAAGGGAGGGAGGGAGCAAGCAGGAGGCAAAGGGAGAGGAAGGAAGGAAGGAAGGAAGGAAGGAAGGAAAGAGGGAAGGAAGGGAAGGAAGGAAGGAAGGAAGGAAGGAAGGAAGGAAAGAGGGAAGGAAGGGAAGGAAGGAA